CTTTTTTTTTTTCTTGTTGTGGTCAAAGATTTAGCTTTGGGTTTCAATTTCCATCTTTTTCCCTTCTTATTAGAAGTTTGCCCGGATTAGTTTTCTGTATTAGGGCATGGTTCTTTGGGAGCGATAGTGGCCGAATGAATATGTAAAATAGTTATAGCTTTAGGGGTGTTAGCTAACTGGAACTTGTTCGTTTATGGCGCAGTTGTCTTAATTTACTTGTATATTTAGAAGTATGAACCATGTTGTAGAAGCTTGATATGGAAATGAATATACTTGCTCATTGTTTAACTAGTAGCTAGGTAAAAGCTTCATTAAATTCTCATTTAATAATGGCTCAGTGGCTTATTTACGGAATGAATCCACTTTCTTTTGAAGCATGCATTATGTGAAGGTTTTTTTTTTTTAAATTGGAGCGTGGCTGAAAAATATTTTAGCAGAATTAGCATATTTCAACCTAAATTTAAAGAGGAGCGGACTCGCAAATTTTTTGTGTGCAGTTCATAAATGTGAAGAAAATGCCAACATTTTTGGCATTTTCTTTAGAAAGCCAAAATTTTCGCCAAAAAGTTTGGCGTTTTCACGTAATTATGCCGAAAAGATTTGGCATCTTCCGCTCAATCCAACTCCACAGTTCGATTTGCGTTGCTATTTGAGCGCGAGTTCGACAAGTCGAGCCGCCGAAGCTAGTCAGATAAATTTAAATAAATTATTATATAATTCTTTTTATGAAATTTAATAATAGATTAATTTAGTAGTTCGAAATAAAATGTTAACTTAATTAATATTTGAATAATTTTTTATGCTAATAAATATTTTTTCTTATTTTATAAAATAGAGAGTTATGTTAAACCTAAATTGATTATTCAAAATTTATATTTGTTATATATATATAATGTTAATTTGAAATTAATTAATTGTTAAATAAATTTAATGCAATGTAACTATTAATTTAGGAGTTAGAATAATTTATAATTATGTAATCTAAAAATTAAGTTGTATGTTATTGATTTTGTTGATTAAATTTTAAATAATAATGTTAAATCAAAATTATTTTATGAAGAATATATGTAAACCAAGTTAAAGTTTAATTTAGGCGTTCAAATTGTGTAAGTAATAAAAGATATTTAAATTAATTTTTGAATAATTTAAAATGTTAGAGTAACGTATATATAATCAATTAAATATAAAATAAATTTATGAATAATTAATTTAATTTTTATATATTAAATAGAACTATATGTAAACACTAATGATATATTATATATCATTAAAGTAAAGTTATTTATTGAATGATGATAATTGTTGATAGGATTGGATTCCTGACAAAATTATTATTCAAAGTATAAGAACTAACATTTTTTGGCTTCTAGTTTATTAAAGTCACATCATATGAGCTGTAAAGTAGGATTGTTAAATCAATTGATTTTATAGCAATGATGACATAAGTTTATTGGCTAAATTTTATTTTGTGACTTTCAATGCTATACTTCTTGTTTGTTTGTTCATTAAGATCATTTATTTATTGTTGTTACTTGTAACAGCTTATCATATTATATGAGCTGTAAAGTAAAAATGTTTAATTAACATAAATCAATTATTTATTTGAGTGTTAATGTATGCATTTTTGCACATCATCTATATAAGTGATGCATGTGTAAGGAGAGATGAGCATTAAGTGAAGTTGCTTATATTACTTTTTTCGTAAAATTGAGTCCTTAAATATATTTTTTTTTTCAGTTTTCACTATAATGCGTTGAAGTACTTTAGAGAAGGTTCGAGGCATCCCAATAAAAGATTTGTTTGATACTATAAGCGCAGTATTGCAGGAGTGTGTGGCTAGGTCTTTCGATACTTCGTTAGAGTTGAAAGAGAGGATGAACAATATTTTTAGATGTTGCATGCATAAATGAATTAATAAATGATAGTAACAATTTACTTTTGAACTTACATGACAAAGCTATGAGGATAGACGACTTTAAACCAGAATATTTTATTGGTGATTGAGGTTGGATATATCTGGAGCATATGTTTTACGAGCACAATCATCATGTGGCTGGTCTCGACTTTTTACAGATGCATTTCAATAAGTTATGATGCGAAAGAGAATGTGGGCATTTAGGTGATGTTCAAAGGAATCACAAACCTTAACCATGTTATTCTCTATATTTCTTAATTTTTTAGGCGAGGAAAATTTCATTTTGGACTTCTATACGAATCTGATGGAGTTATTACCAAGAGGAAAGAGAAGGAAATATTTCAATGAAGAGATTGGCAAGATTTTTTAGTTCGAGTTTGAGTTTTATTTCAAGTGTTGTCTAACCCAAAGACAACACCAAGCTCATATGCACACCTTGCTTAAGAAAAAGTGACACTATGTATTCCTCTTTATGTCGCTTTTATTATTTTTTGTTTGGAGTTTCTACGATGCTAATAGTTTTTATATTGTCTCGTATTATTTACAAAGTTAAATTTATGTACTTTTATTGTAAATATTGGTCAAGAAGTTATGTTTTATGTACTCTGCTTATATTAAATATTTATATGTGATAATACATAGTATATTAAATAGATAATGATATGATATGCATATAGAAATATATTATTTTATTGATTTCATAAATTCAAAATGCAATACATTTGAATTTATTAAATATCCATGTTATAAGAGTTTGATAAAAGCCCATATAACCATAATATACATACATGCGAACTAGGCTCTTCTTCGACGTGAAATGACATCAATGCCTATATGGTAGGTGTGCCTCATCATCTCTAAATCCATCCTCATCCTGTGGTGTAACTGCCTCCGAACATCTTGTTGTAAAAGCAAATCCTATTGCATCAGAGATGTCGACAAACCCAACAGAGCCAGCCAATTCGAAATATACATACTTGGTGAGGTGCATAGGTCTGCTTATTGTTTTTGACTAACCTGTTGGAGTTCCCAAATGTAGTTATAGGGCCAGTTGTGGTTGGCTCAGTTTTGTGTTGGGAGAGCTGATCAGGGGGTTGTGCCGAGTTACTTGATTTTAATCCTGAGTTAGACACCATATACCATTTTCGCTGGGATGCCTCAAATTTTCTTAAAGTACTTCATTGCATTATAGTGAAATATGAAAATAATTTATGCACTCAAGTATTTCACAAAAGAAAAATTATTACAAGTAACTTCACCCAATGTTCGTTTTCCTCTGCATATACACCACTTATATATATAATGTGTAAGAAATCATACATTAACAATCAATTAAATAATTAATTTATGCTGATTAATATTACAACTTTGTAGTTCACCTAATGTGATAGGTTGCTGCAAACAATAATAACAAATAAATGATCTTAATGAATAAATAGATAACAAATATATGATCGAAAGTTACAGATAAAATATTTTTCAACCAACTTATGTTATCATTACTATAAGATCAATTGATTTGACAATACTATTTTACAACTCATGTGATTTGATCTTAATGAACTATGAGCAAAAAAGTACTAGTTTTTATGCTTTGAATAATAAATTTATCAGGAATTCAATGTTATCAATAATTTTTATCATTTAATAAATGACTTTACTTAACTGATATATAATAAATAGATGGTCTTATTACATTATTAGTGTTCATATATAATTATACTAATAAAAAAAAATTTAAATTAATTATCCATAAATTAATTTTATATTAAATTGATTATATATACTCAATTCTAATATTTTAAATTATTCTAAATTTAATTTAAATATATATTATTACTTAAGTAATTTGAATGTCTAAATTAAACTTTAACTAAGTCAAGAAAACACTTTCGATTCAACATTACTATTTACAAATTAATTAAACTAAGTCAATAAAACACTCCTTAATTTTTAGTTTACATACTACATAAATATTCCAACTCTTATATTAATAGTTACATTGTATTAAATTTATTTAACATTAAATTAATTTGAAATTAACATAATATATACATTAATCCAACAAATATAAATTTTGTATAATTAATTTGGGTTTAACATAACCCCCTGTTTTATAAAATAAGAAAATAATTAGTAGCATAAAAATATTCAAATATTAATTATGTTAGTATTTAATTTCAAACTATTATATTAATATATTATTAAATTTAACAAAATGAATTATAGGATAGTTTATTTAAATTTACCTTACTAGCTCCGGCGACTTGACTCGCCGAACTCCCATAGCTTGAATTTTCTTGCGGATTGAACCGTGGAGTTGGGTTGACCGGAAGACATCAAATATTTTGGTATAATTAGGTGAAAATGTCAAACTTATTGGCGAATTTTGTTATTTTCTATTGATGGAGGAGTATAGAGAAAATAAGGAGGATATATATATGATATTTATTGATTTAGAGAAAAAATATGATAACGTTTCAAGATAAGTACTATGGAGAGTTCTAGAAAAGAAGTGGGTTAATAATGCTTATATTCAAGTCATTAAGGATATGTATGCATGAGCTGTTACAAACACAAGGTGGTTTGATCAAGTTTTTTCCTATTTCAGTTGGATCACATCATGGATCAACCTTACGCCCATATCTTTTTACTTTAGTCATGGATGTTTTCACTAGATATTTGCAAGAGGTTGTACCCTGGTGTATGTTTTTTGCTGATGATATACTTGTTGATAATACTAGAGTGAGAGTTGAAGGTAAATGAGTTATGGAGGTCAACCTTAGA